ATTTTTTTCCCGTTTGTATTATTATGTAATATAAATTTTGATCGACTTTCCCTAAGAACATTAATCAAACCCGTAAATAGAGTGATTGCAATTGTCTATGTACGTTCAATCCAGTTAGTTTTCACTTGAAGCAATTAATTATATTTCACCAGTTCGTTAACTTTAGTCTTTATATCAATTTACAAAGTGTGGAATAAAAAACCAACGACCACCAACTAAATGAAATGAAAGCTTCATTTGAAACAAGCCATGCATGAAATCTAGTTACTAAATTATGGCACCAATACAAGTCGTTTAAGTGTACTACTTTTGACCATCATCCGAAGACTTCCTGCATCCTTGAATCAGATGTATTTGCTTTTATTTTCAATCTAAGATAATAGTAATACACTTATATTATAATGAAAATATTCAAATCTAATCTATTTATAAAATAGTTTGTACATGATTTTTATAAATCCAGTTAATGTATGTGTGAATATGAGATTAAATGATGAGGTCTTGTGTATTTAAAGTATTTTAATTAATTAGGGTCTGTTTCCGGAACAGAGAAAAAAGGTAGAAATTAGCGTGGCCATGCAATTGATGGCCAAATGTTATCCCCACACAAACACAAAAAAAAACGTAAACATGAACCGTTCCGGTTGAACAGTGGGGCATCAAGCTACGCTCAGTTCCGGTTTAAAGACTGCTGCAAAAAGACAATTTCTCCTAGTGGTGATATAAAAATGTTATTTGTTTTATAAATGAAGACACACGTAAGTGTATTAAAATAATAAGTTAATCATATTTTTAAGTGCTAATTGTTTCCTGTTCAAACGGAATGCGTCTCTATGAATGGCATCAGTTGAAATTCATGAATTGTGTTTCTGTGGTAATTGAATAATGCATGTTTGGGGATGGTTGTAAATATAGTTTAATTGAAGTGACTACTGTATAATTTTGCGACCGTTAGAGTAAATTGCACTTTATTTGGTTTCCATTGCACAATTTTCCCTCGGCTCATGTCACGTACACCATATTAGGTGGATTCCTAACATACTGGTTGTAATCATTGAGCAATGCGCAATGTTCTCTTTAAATAAAAATACTTTAATTGAAAGGAAAATAAATGGATACGAGGATGATGATTTCGATATGCAAACTATTCTTTAATTGTGGGAATACTAACTGTCAAGTTCATGCATATACGAAATTATAATTAAACGAAACAATTTCCTAATTATATATTTACATATATGTGAATAGATATTCAAGGTAACATAAAATATAAGCATTGTAGATGCTGTATATGCTACAATGCACATAGAGTTGCCTATATCAGTTGTATGAGAATTTCAATAATTTACGTTCATTTCTGGTTTGAAATCTTATTTTGTAATATTATTGATAAAATATTGTAATTGTTCATAAATCAATTAGATTTGTTTATCTAAATTTGATAAAATATGTGAAATTTATGTTTGTTTTGAAATTTTCAAATGATTCCGCACTGATCGTATTGATGTATTATATAAATACGAACTTAACAGGATGTCAATTAAGTAGTAATTTGTCTACTGTTATTACTTTGTAATAAATATTAGTTGTCTATAAAACTATTCCGGAGAAAGGAGGGTAAAATTAATAACTGTAGAAATCGTAAATAATATTAAAGAAAGTAATAAAATTTGCAAGAGACAACAATAACCAATGGTATGAAAAGTGTGACGATCATTAAACTGCGAGCTGTATTGAATGAAGAAAAAAATCTATGCAACGAAAGTATATTCCATAATAAGTAATATTTAATAATGGGTTTTATCAAATTTGAACGAGAATTACAGGGAAATAGATGAAATCACAGTAATGTATAAATACTTACTACATTTCTTAAAAATCCAGATTTCAATTGCATTTCAATCCATTATAGCTCAAAAAAGCAGTATTTTTACAACGATTTTGAGTAATAATTTTTCATACAGTTAGACACATTTATACATGGCAGTAATTACATTTTAATGGGATAAATAAACCATTTTTTTACAATGTTCATCCGCAAATGTTAATATTCTAATTATATTTAACATAAAATATAAACTTATAAAAGTTATGTCTTTTAAAATACTATATAAAAATTTCAACAAAATTTCTAAAACAACATTATACTGTCATACAAATACTAAATATTCTAGAGCAGCGTTTCTCAACCTTTCAGCTGAGCATTCCAATTGATATGAGTATTTCACCAATTCCTTGATGACAACTGTCTTTTCGAGACCCATAAAAAAAATTAACGTCATTCAATTTTTGGTTGCAATCCATAGGTTGAGGAACGTTTTGTTACACAACTTAAATTAATAACAGTTTTTTTAAAAAAAGTAATGAACTTGAAAAATACAGGAACTTTTGCGTATCACTTCCTTCCAATTAGTTGAGTACTAAAATTTAAATACATTTGGTTAAGTTTCGAGGTTTATATAACTTAATTTGCACAAAAAGTTGGTATATCTAGAAAACTAAAAAAACACAATTTTTTTTTCTTATTGATTACGAATGAAATTAAGAATGATTTTTATTTCCATTTACCTATTTTTTTGTTATTAATCGCTATGTATGATCCAATAATTTCTTCTTCGATCCTCATCAGCATAAAACAAATTATAAAATATAATTTGCAACATCCTCGTCCCGAAGATTATCATAAAGATTTGAAAATATGCATCGATGATATCATCAATAAATTGCAATGGACACTCGCTGAAACTGTAACGACTCTTGGAATGGAAAGACATTTTTACGAACATGATGTTTCCTTTGAAATTTCAAATGGCACTGAATATTTTGTGTTAATATTTCTATTAGTATTTAAAAAAGATATGTGAATACTCTTAAGACGCGTGCGTAGAAGAAGTTCAGGTATTTTTGTTTTGGTATGCGATGTTCTATTTTTAACGCTGGTATATAATTTTTTTATAATTATTTATTTATTTGTATATAAAAACATATAATAATTACATTGAAATGTTACAGATGGCTAAATAAGAAATGATTGGATACATGTTTAATAATTTATTATTTCGTATTATATTGAGTCTCTTTTCCTCAAATAATTTTTTATTAGATCAGTCTCAATTCGTATATGGACAATTTGCAATGAAAATATATCACATTTAAAAATTTATTAATGGCGAATTCGGTATTTAGTATGCAAATATAGTACAGAGAATAATAATTAATTTAATATCATATCACATTTATCACAATTCAATTCGGATTTGAAAGGCATTTCGATGGATTTTAAAAGTCTTCGTCTATCTCCTGTATACTCATCGAGTGATTCCTCCTGCGTCTTTCCAAATCTTCGTCGAAACACATAATTTTCAAGATCACAACTTCAAATGTGCAGAGCATGAAGAGAGCCATGAAGACGTCCAGATGCGTGTCCACCGGTTTCTTCTTCATTTCGGGCGAAAACTCACTCACCAAGATCAGATTCTTGAACGAATAGAAGAACCACATGAACATAGTTAATTATGTACGCAGACTACTTTTGGCCCTTATTGTTTCCGCCTTTGTATTTGGAATAGCACTGATCACGGCGCGCAGACACTTCTGGCTAAAAACGCGAAAGAGACGAACGTGCTGCATGCGGAAAGTAAAAGTCGAGGCTTTATGCAACTCTGATACTACTCACTTTCTCGTGTAACAGTTTTATGTGGCACATCTGGTTTTCAGCAGACCACCTTATGCAATAAGCTTATTGCATGCGATGACCCCACTATACACATGTTTATTATTTGTACGAGTTGTGCTATATTTGCGACATATCTATTTACACACTGAACCACATTCAATTACATTTTTGTAACGTATATTATACTTTTAATTTAAACAAATTCAATAGATCCATCCAACACAGAGTGTCTTCAAATACCTCTTAAATTTATACAAATAAAAATGTTTACAAGGATACAATAGATTTCTTGGTGTTAGCAAAGTTTTGCAATTAACCTAATATGAAATCAGGTCATTCAAATATACACAAAGTTGTGAACTTTGCACATTTCATACTTGTTGCAAATGCACGTTATGAAATTGATCCATTCAGGAAATTTTATTTATTAAATATTATAATATTATTTTTATATTGGAAAATCTTGAGGTCAGTAGCCTTTAGCAATGATTCATGTATTTTTTATTTAGCACTTTCTTCATCTATATTTATACAAAAGATTTTTTTTCAATAATTATATTGAATACAAGTCTGCTAAAATAATAATTATTGACAATTTTAATTAAAATATATTTTGTTAGACAAGTTTTAAATGTCAATAGAAACTTTCCTATAAAATATGAAGTCAAAAAATATCATACAAATCTCTTATAAAGCCCTTTAAATCCAATATAAATCTCCTAGATATCCCATAGAAATTACTATAGAAATCCCATTCTAATTTTTAAATAGAATTTCCAATTGGTAATATATTTCCTATTGATAATAAACTTCTATATTATCAATTGATTATATTTCTATAAAATTTGTGATAAATTTCTATGGGTTTTCCAAAAATCCCTTATAATTATTTAGAAATTTCAAAGTATGCAATGGAAATTATGATAACAAAGTTTTTATTTTTACTATATTGGTTTATTATCAACTAAAAAAAATAATACAAATGTTTAAAAGAAATCATAGAAAAATATTTGTAGTAAATGAAAAAGAATATTTAGACATTCAATATAGTATGTTTTTTTTTTTATAATGAAACAATTATACTTTTATAAAACGTATAAATAAACCTCAAATGTGTCCTCTTTCTATTTACATACCGTATTTTTTTGAAGTATTTGTAAGTCTAATTGTATTAGTTTATTTTGGTACGCGTTACGTCCAACAGTTATTATATAATTGCCAAAAAGCGTGATTTGTATAACGGAATCCGTTATTCTGCAAATTCCTTACCAAAAATATATCACATTTTATATTTGCATTTACTATAGATACGCTCATGTTTCAGACATAGAAAACCTCAGACACCTTGGCACTGCTCGGTATGCGGACACCAATTCCGTTCGATCGACGGTATTCTGGAGATCGAAAAGGTGGTAACTTGCGCTAAATGCAAAAAGCGAGCATGCAAACTGAAATGCGCCAAAAGGGAACACACGGAGGAATGGATTTGTCAAATGTGTCGATCAGATTCGTGGTTTTCCAGTCTCCTGAATGCATTACAACCTAGTACGACTAAAGGTAAATGAAATATTAAATGCTGTCTATATGAAAATATTTAAATTTGATTTGTATTTAGGCTGGTATACAAAGAAGAAAATGAACCAAACGACAATTGATGAAATCGATGAGGATCTGATGGAGTTGCAGAAAAAGGAAAGAGAACAAGTGAGAGACTTCATCGAAAGATTGTTGGAAGCCTTGTTGGGAGGCGATTTGGACAGCGTCAGCGTGAAGAAACTCTACAACGACCCGAAATGTGAGTATAGTTATGGTTCATGATACGATGAAAGTCCAGTTGCTTCGACTAGACTAGGAAGACCCGAGGCGTTTGTATACATAACATGCGGTAACATACTGTTAATTCTGTCGGTCCCGAAGTGGGAGAATGTGTGGGTGTGTAATATAGTTTACATCATCTAATAAATAATAGAAGCCTGCGCTTTAGCTCTAACCCGTCCTGCATACTCATACATTTTTGTTTTTTAATCGCTAACCAAAACTAACGTTGCCTATTCCAGATGATGCTCTATTCTGCAGATATCATGATGATCTCAGCAGCGCTCTAACAGATTTAGGATCCGCATTGCATATCTCCATCGCCAATAAATGGTGTATGTATCTTTCATTAACTTTATTTTCATGCACCTCTTAATGCTTTACCACCTCATGCACCTCTTAATGCTTTTTCAGACCATAAGACGCACCCTAATTCAAAGTCGATCTCCTTACGTGGAATGGTGTATCTTATGGACCGAAAAATTCGACATTTCAATAAATATTTTATCTTGTACATGTCAATAATTAATGCGTATATTTATAGATAACCATTATCAATTCCAGCAAATTAAATAGAGCAATAACTGACCTTTAACATACAATCTTATCAACACCTTGAACATAGAGAAAAGTAACATACACATTCTCTAATTATGTCTATCAATTAAAATATAATTAATTAAATAAAAAATCACGCAAAGTGATTATTTCGTAATTGTACATAAAAACAAAATTACATTCAAAATTATGTCTATATGAGTGTTAAGACTTTCGCTTTAATAGATATTGTTTGAAATCTATTTTCTACATTGATTAACTTACGTAAGATGTGAACGGTCAATCAAATGAATCAGAAACAAAAACATTAAAACAATTAAATATAAAATTACAAGCACGTTTATTACTTTTCTTTAACTGTATATCAAAGTCGATGATCGACACTTTGCAATTATAACATGTCGTTTTCATAATAGCTTTTTCCTACAAACAATCATTCGACTTTAACCAAGGTTTTTCGATATAATTATAAATGTCTTCTCCTATTAATTATTATACATAGTTCTAAAGTTTGAATATCTACTGAATACAATGTTTGCAACATTTTATCTTTACTTATGCGTCGAAATACTTAGGGCAAATAAATTGCAAAATAAATCTTAATTGATATTGTTAATATGTACACTTTACAATATTAATTTGTCATCTGTAGATTTGAATTTGCAAAGGTCACAAGTTTCTAAAACATTTGAATTTTAACTAATGAATATATTAAAAGACGATTTTAGAAATCCAATGATAACTGGTTTAATTGTGCAACTGATGTAATGGATTACTTACAAAACAATCTAATACACTATAAATAAAATTCTAAAATCGTTCTTATCTCATCCGATAAATTTTGTCTCCAGATTATTTAATATCTCATGTTTTAAATACAATGCAGTGTTTCGATTTTTAAAACAAATCGATCGAAGAAGAAATAAAACCACTTGATTATCAAATTAATGTTACGCTCTATTGGATTATCTGCTTACCGGAAATAAAAAAGAAGCAAGAATTTTATTAGGTGCAATAAAACTGTTCTAAAAAGAAATTTACGGTCGTACGAAAATTAAAGAGAAACAAAATTGAAGAAACGAAAACAAGAATCACATCTATTACAGTGTTCCTGTTAATGCAATTACGTAGCTTTCCAATTACGTTTTTTTATGATGATCATTGTACAAAGTATTAATTTTATATAAATTAAGAAGCATCATAGAGAGAGAAAGAGAGAGAGAGAGAGAAAGAAAGAGATATGAGCAGAAAAATTGACTTGACTGAATAACCTTGTTTGTTATTCAACAGGTGCCTTGGTTGCACCTTGACCATCTTATCTGGGTAAGTCAGTTATTGACGGGAGAGTCCAGGGTACAAACGCGTTTCGCACTCGTCGCTCATCGAAACATCGGACGAAAAACATATTTTTACGTGCAATTCGGTTCTAATTTATTGGTGTGTGATTCTAAATACTACTACCGGCTTATTTGTTGCTCGCTCCTAAGGTGAATTACTAGTTCTAGAGAATCGTCGTACTGCACAATCGCAATTATTTATATTTATGTAAAAGTGTTCGTGGTTATTGCATTTTTTGTCTAGATACACGTTTATTATTACTATAGAAACATCCACTGTTCCAATCACAAATGTCTTCAAATCTTACAAATATTTTAAGTCTAAGTTTGCAAAATATTTAAGTCCAAACTAAATATATTTCATTTAAAAAAATCACTGTTTTTATGTTTTGTCGTCATTGCTTCGTGTATCAAAAAGAGAATGGATGAAACTTTTATATTGAAATTCAATTTATACGAAACTGTCTAATGGATTTTTTTAAATTTGCAAATTATTTGATCATTTGATAACATCTCTGTTATTACGTTAAATTGATTTAGTTCTTCTATAGCGTATTTTTTGTTAATAATTCAAGTTTTTTTTAACATAAATATATTTTCAATATGTAATTAACGTGTATTTTGACTCTTACATAAGTCGCTAATCGTTTTGGTATTAAATTGATTAAATGTTATCTATATTGAAACACGTTTTCTATGTAAAAGCCAATCAGCGAAAGTAATTAATATAAATTTCGCAGTAGAACAAACAGCGTATTTGTTAAAGTGTATCATTGAAACAATATTAATAAAACTAATCGCATGTACGGTGGAAATCAAATTTCGATTACTGCGCGGCGAAATTCTAACAAATGAAGCGTTAAAAATCCTTGAAATTTTTGCGAAACACACACTAGCGAATAACAAACGTAAAGCGAATCGTTTAGTCAAGTTTTACCTGATTTTCGTAACGTATGAATTATGTAAAAGGCGATTTTGTTTTAATATTAAACATGTTTTTTTGTACATCTATCGTTTCGTGCGTTCTTGCTGCAAACGTGATGATATTATTCCCATTACTTACTGATGCTTAAAACAAAAACTATTCTTTCGAATGAGAACAATTCGAATCAGTAATTGCAAATGATACTACTATATGCTGTATCTAATTAAGTAATTTCATAAATTCCATTTTGTTTTTAATTATTAAATTTCTATTAATTCGTTTCGCGAAGAAAGTTGAGCTCCTCTCCCACATTCGATTGTCTACTATGCGATCTGTTTCTTTATTTTGTTTTTGTCGTTGTTATTGTTGTTGGTCTTGATGGAGCTCATTGCGAAAGAAGCTGTTGAATGGACGAGATAAGATTTCCGGTAATCCACTTGAAAATACGTTTCTGCAAATAACGTTTACGTGTATCATATTGAACTAAAAAAAAAGCACTCGTATGAAACAATGAAAGTGTAATGTGTTATCTGGATTGTGCAGTACGATAAATTTTGAACGGTATTCAATATATCGGGCGATATTTATTAGAATACCTTTCGTTTTCAGTTGATGTTCAGTGATAGTATTTTGGTTTGCTGTGATATATTATATTTATATATAGTTGTTAAAATATTGCCAAGATCGTTGAAATGATTTCTGCGACTACGCTGACTCTATGGATTATCCTCTGTGTCATAGCATACATGCTATGCCATTACTATGAAGTCGTCCTGGGTGAGTCTAAAAAACATCTTCTGAATACTAATTACTCATAATGCTCATACATTTACATATAAACCATGTTTTCTTGATTTCGTTAATTAATTAAAATGAGTATAAACAATATATTTGACGTCAAAGGTTCAATATCCCATAACTTCAGATAATTTTTAAAACTTTTCCACGACTAAATTACAAATGTAGTTTATATTGAACATTTCGTGTATATAGTGAATCCGGATTGATTAAAGTTGGACTATGCGAGGTTTTGCTCAAATTTAACTTCATTTAATAATGTAATTATTTCATTAGTTACTTTCTTCAAATAACTAGATTTTTGTGATTAACAATAATAATTAATTAAAGCTTGTTTTAGACACGTGTTATGAAATTTCCAGCATGAAACTATATATTTCTAACTTCTCTAATTATGGTTTGCGCATTTTATATATTACCGTACTTATTATTGTCACAACTATAATCAATGTAATTATGAGAAATCGTTTTTTTTTAAATTGAAAAATCATCAAAAAAAAAGAAGCGAATCATGTTCATTCTACTAATGAAGATGATTTGCTAAAGTGACAAGTCTTAAAATGAACACAAAACAAATGGCTGAAGGACACGGCATATTTGATATTAAAATAAGAATTAAACTTTTGAACAGTTATAGCTACTACTACTACTACTATGAATATTTTAATTACAAAATATGCTAGTAGTAATAATAAAATCATTAATAATTAATTTATAATTGCTCAATAAATCTTATTAGTTGTCTTAGGTCATTATTGTTGTGCAATAATGAGTTGTATGTATCGATAAATTCTATTTCTGTATATACAGTAAGATTTCGTTTAGCGCTTAAGTTGTGACAAGCGTTAAACAAAACAACATTAAACGAAGTCACATTAACAGAAAGCAAATAGGTAAATTTTGAGCGCTAAATAAGTTCTCTTCGCACAAATAATATTTATATAGAAATGATTCAATCTGCTTCTATTTTAACGAAATAAGTATTTTTATATTATTGTTATTATAAGGATGAAGAAAACGACACATTCTAATAGTAGAAAATTAACCTTCTTTCTTACCAATCTCTCATTTTAATAATTGGAACAAAACTAATCTTGCTTTATGAACAGTCATCATTTTAGATTTATTAAGTTAAAGAACTTTCTCATCATTAATTATGTTTAAGAAAGTTGAAATTTCTTTAAGAATAAGTTGCATTTAGTCTGTATTAAAATGATTACATTTTATAACTACTCAAAATGTACTTTAGAACATATTTTATAAAATCATTATCGCACATATTAACAGTAAAATTAATTAATATTTCGAAATGTTTATTTTTGTGTTTCTTGCTTTTTCATTAATTAAATATGAGTAATAGATGTTGCAACTAATCAAATATTATTACAAATGACTGTTTTAAACAAACAACTTTTAAATTTATTAGTATAATATGTATCTCTCACGATTATTGCTTGTTATTTGCTAGTATGTTGTTGTGGTTGTTTCATTTATGATAATTTGATGATGGAATAATAATCTGTATTTATATTGTCTTTGAGTTCTTTACATTCTAGAATGTAATAGCAAATAAATGTGTAATTACATAATTTATTTGTTTTGCAAATGTTTGCATATGTTCACTATTTGATTTTGTCGTAGATCTGCCGATAACTGGACAATCACCATGCTCAGCACACGCAACATTGAAGCTTTTAATTCAAAAGTTAATCGAAGATGCTGCCGGTTTACCAAAAATGCCAAAATTACCTGACCATCCGGCATCTCCGGATGACACAGGCGATAGGACATACGAGGATCTTCTGGCAACGGCTGTCGTAAATAAGGTGATTCAAAATTACCAAGAAGAAGTTCCATCCTCGGCTGGAAGTATTTCGAGCAGAGCTTCGACCAGTTCCAGAAAAAACTGCGATAAGGAGTACTTCTTTGGTGAACGAAACTTGGAACCGAAACGGAGATACGATGATACTTCTTCAGTTTCGAGCATGGACGACCTACGCAGCGAACCGTACACCTCGGCTCCCAAGTACTTCGACAGAAGTCCACTTGTTGTAATTATAAATTACTCTTCTTCATTTGCTTTGATAATAACTAACTAATTTTTAGTCTAAACAACATACAGATGTCTCTTCAACAGAAGACGATATTTTAGATGATGAAGAATTCGACACTCGTAGCGTTCGGGACAACAATTGGCAGGAGAATTGGCATTTGAGAAAGAGGAAGTTGAATGGAACTTCTTCACCTGCACCTGTTCCAATGTTTGTACCGAATTCGAACGTCGATGCCAAAGTATTGATTGGCGATCGAGTGATTGAAGATACATCAGATTTATCGGATGCGGGCTCGGATTTCGGTGATTCCGTCGAACCGTCCAGCTTGAATTCGCATCTGGTCAATTCAAGAACTTTGATCGGCGGAAGAAATCCAATTGAAAGTATCGTGGCCAAAGCTGAGTCGATTTCCGATGATGGAAGTACCGATGACTCTGACCTCATTAAGGAAAAGGAAGATATAGTTCAACAGTTTACTAGTTTAGAAAACACAAGGGAGGAGGACATCGCTCAGATTGCAAATGAAGTTTTACTCAATCAACAAAGTATGATGAGGAATTTGGTTTTGTTGTGAATTTAATAATTTGGTTTAATTTTAGACCTTCAAGAACCCTTGGAAACGTACGATAGTAATATTGAACAAGATTCCGAGTACACGGAGAAATATGCCACGTTACCAAGAACTATTGTTCTACCACAAGCGTTGCCAAGGTAAATAAACTTTAACATGGAATAAAGTAATTTTATAACATTTGTAATTTTTTGTTCAGAAAAGCAAAGATTATTGATCAATCCGAGCACGTTTTGGAGTACAATAATTGCGATAACGTTGATAGCGGTGTAACTTCTGATGAAGATGACAAACATAAGAACGCAGAAGGTATGAGAACTTAAAGACATTGTTTATTAAGATATTAAATATCATGTAATTTACAGAGCGTTTTAAAAATACCATTTACGAACGCAGATGTAGCAATAAAAGTAGACCTCAGGTGTACGGACTGTAAGTAACCATAACGTTTTTGTTGTACAGATTTTTTTATATTGTTACATGTTATTGTTTAGATTGGAGAATGAAGAATTTAAACAAGTTAATACACCTTCACTTCCAAGTTCAACCGAGGTAAGTCTGTCAGATATTGAAGAGCTATGCACATACAATAGTTTGCCAAGAAGATTGTTCTCGTCCAAAAATGCGAGCAAGCATTTCGTCACAAACCCTTTAATGCATTTCTCCGATGACCAAAGCATGTTATTCTGAAAGTCTTGTACACGTGCCCCTCGAAAAATTTGTACATACTTGTACTTTTGTATTGTTTATATGTTAACCTGAGTGTATATATTCGCATGGTATACAGATTATTGAGTATTGTTGATATTGTATTTATATTTGAATAAAAGAGTAAATTTGAACGGTCCATAATATGTAATAATCGGCCTTAAAAATGTTCGACGATGGGTAAGTCTGATTATTAATTCTATTAATTAACAATCTAGATCTAGACTTAAGCCAATACTAATAATACTCAATGCTTTCGTGCTTATTAGGGTATACATGGTAGTTGTTTGTAATTGTCGTGTTTAACTTGTGTTTAAAATCAAAGTTATTGTGTTTTTATTTAGATTCCTACCGAAGCATTGGTTGATGTAAGCTACGTGGATGACGTGAAAGAAACACCTTTGGAGTCCCCAATCAAACCAGAAGAGCAAAGCTTATTCAAAGCTGTACCTGTTATTATCACAGATGAAACAGATGTGGAATCTTCCATAGAACCAGCCACGCCAACCAGATCAAACCAATTGGACTTATCTAGCGATTCTGACAGCATAGAACGCACTTACAACATACCTTCCGGACAGATTTTGAAGAAAGGCCAAGCAACAAACGATTTCCTGTCATTCAACACAAACCCTGACGTTCTTAAACATCCCAGAGATTTCGACGAGAATCACAACACGTTCGTCGATGAACAAATTAATGTACCATTCATCACCACCAATTTGAATCATTTTAAACTAGTAGATGAAATCGCAAATGAAACGCCAGAGCAATATAAAGAGGAACCGATTTCACCTCCAGCGGATTTCAAAAATTTACATCCCGATAGCAACTGTGATAACTTTCAACCTATCAGGCGATGCGTTTCCGAAAATCTGTTAGCTAATAACAGTTGCGATATTAGCAAGGAAGAAGTCACGCAATCGGTGGAGGATTTATCGGTGGAAATCGACGATTTAAAAAAGAACCAACCGGTCAAGAAGTTGGTTAAATCATTTTCCGAGATCTATCCAAACCTTAAATCGCCAGGTAAATTTAATGAGAGTAAACCCAACTTATTGAACTACGAAGGGAATGAAAACGAAATCGAAATACAGGAGAAGCAAGAAGACGGAACTTCTGAAATTCCATCTGTTAACGCAATGAAGAGCCTTTTCGAAAAGGTATAATAGTATAATCTAGTAAATATGAGGTTTTCTAATGCTACTTTTATTCTACAGCCCAATCTAACAAAGCCGGAAGTTTATAGTCTAACCGCTAGAAGTATTCCAAAGAAATTCCGACAGGAATTGAAGAAAGACAATTGCACAGCTACAGGTGTGTGCAACATATTAATCTAGTTATGAATCAATTGTTAAAACTGTATTTCTACTTTCAGCTGAAAGCGATACCTTGTATAAAGAAGAAACGACATCAACTGAAGTGCCATTCCCTACAGCCAAGAGCAAAATTCAGTATTATGAGAACTTAATCCGTTAATTATTTTATTGTTGATTTTATAATTTTATTTGCAAACGTAATTAGTCTACCAAAGAATTAAGATATTATATACATTGGATCAAATTAAACTGAAAATGTTGTATTATTTGAAATTGATTTATTTAAAAAAAATATAAATTACGTTTTATAGTGATTTTATTAATTTAAAGAGTTTTTGTTTAATTGTAAACGTTGTGTTTATATGAATTTAAGGTAATTATTAGAATAAGAGAAACGCGCAGAAATGTAGGAAATTAACAACATTCATATTTATTTACTCTGATACAATAATTTTTACAAACATGTATAAATATAATTTTACTTCTCGTTTTTTTTTTATATCGTACAAATATTTTACTCTAAATATCTTTATAAATACATTTACTCACAATATATTATTATAAATAAAAAGGTTTGTTGTAAAATGGAAGAAAATAGATCACATATATATAAATTCAAATAATGTTACATCTTATATTACAAAATATATGCTAAATATATATATATATAATTTCCATCAATTATCCTTTTTAATTGTTGTTGCGTTTTGTGCTGTTCCGCCGTACGATGATTGCTTGCTAATTTTCGACATGCCAATTGATCTATTTAAAAGACAGTAAACTGAAAGAAATGATTACATCGTAAATTGATTGTTCTCCGATAGTGGTAAATTGCGATACTTACAAATGAGGAGAATTCCAGCTCCGATGCAGAAATAAATCATTTGTCCGCTAAATAAGAGTCGAATCAAGTAATAAATCATTGGACACAGAATAGTGATCATCCACATGACCATATTGATCAAAGGATGAAGACGTCTCGGCAAACTAAAACCTTCGACGCGTTCAACGCCCGAAGTTTCAAAGAAATCACCGGTTTTAACAAAGCTTTCCTTCATCTGATCCTGAAATTTATGAAAAATTTATGGATTAGTTATAATTGAAATATGATTAGGTAATTATCGTACCTTTTTCTGGAATAACTCTCTGATGAAGTTATCCTGATCAGCTTCAGATTCTGGTACTTCTTCTAGAGGGATACGTTTCATATACATATGTGCTGTTACAGCTTTGCCATGGAGCATACTTGTAATTGTAGGCTTAACTGAGTCATTCTCGTCAAAAGCTACAATAATATCGTAAACAGCCGGCACCTTGCCGTGCATCGGAGGTAAACTAGTGACAAAGCCTCGTGTGCGTGGTTGCAAATGATATTTTAACTGTTTGTAATTTCTTTCCGTAGCGAATTGCTCCGACGCTTTGTGCTTGCTTTGAGAAAACCTGGTTCCTTCTGGGAAGAGCAACAGCTACGAATAAAAACAATCAAAACACTTTCAAAGAACGTTTGTAATTTTTAGATACTAACCCACATTGGATCAGGGTGATCAGCAAGTTCTCCGACTTGCTTATGAATGTTTGCCCTGTCTTTCTCATAAGACCTCTCCAAGAATACAAATTCGGAAAACTTCCAACACCATCCGAGCACCGGGAGATATTGGATCACTTTTTTCGCGTACGCCTTGCAGTTCTGAAATATACGATGTTATTATTATTTACTTCTAAGTGATTCAATATTTGAGAACTTACGCCCAACATGTTAATTCGGTCACAGGTCATCCATCCAATGAGCCAGTCAATTTCATATGTATGGTTCATTATACAACAGGCATGCTCCTTGCCCCAATATTGGTCAAAATCATTTTTGTCAATGTAAAGGATGATTTTTGAATTTGACCACCAATCGCCCATAAATACCAATTCTTCAAAAAAAGAGACACACACATTAGTTTCTTTTTCAATTATTACATGCTCGTAAATATAAATTTAATATTTTTAGCACATTCAAAAATAATGATATTTTTTTACAAATCTTTATTACAACCAAAGTCGTTCGGTCCATTATTATTTTTATTAATTATTTAAAGCAGTTGGTATTTAAAGTAGTTTAAAGTTATTGCAAAATCAAGTATCAACAATAAATGACATATCACTTTTAACTAAAAATACAAATATACAATCTAGATAGTCTAATAGTTACTGGGACTAAAGTTTCCTACTTGACATTAATTAAAATTTATCCTTGATCTTTGATACTCTATTGAAGTGTTTATCAGAATTGATTATGAATTGATAGCTCATATTACTTGCAAAACATAAATTATGAAATTTAAATGAAACATGAGAATTAATTCTTTGTTATGATAAATATTTGGAATATTTTATCAGCACCAAGAATAAACAAAAAATGACTCACTTTACAAATAAAAATAAAAGTGATAAACATGTTTATAAACAAGATGTGTATGAGAGTGTAAATATCATGTAAGCTATGATTAATGAATGTTAATTACTATTATTTTCATGTCTAAAATTATATCTAAGCAAATTAGTTTATAAATGGAATTGTTTGTTTCATTTACCCCCCAATGATAATTTAATTGAAATAAATTAGTACACAAATGGGTTCCACTTAAAATCAAAATAAAAGAGTTAAGAGTACTTACGTGAGTACAAAGAACAGCACAGATAATAATTTAACTTCCGATAAAGGGTTTTGTTGATCTTATGCACTGTATAGTATAAGATACATTGCATAGTGTTTATTATTAATCCGGATGTGAAGTAAGAAATGGCAAAGAGTAGGTGTATCAGTCTGGATCTTTTAAAAACCTTCATGTCCATCTTTATGGTGTTCTGGATGTCTGGAAGTCAGGATAAAAATGAAGTCTGAAACAGAAGTATAGAAACGCGTTAATATTAATGCGACTATTGGGTTCGGTAATTGCTGCGGTGGACGCACTTCCTTATTATGGAATAAATAATTAATCCATTCCGCTGTTGCACTGTGGATGGAAGCTAGATGTAATGCACTTCAGGATCACTTCCCTCACTGTACTGTCATATTTTTAGCCGGGTGTATTAATACATATGCACAATGCGCACAACAACAATGTCAGGACAATTCTGAGATAAAACGCAACAACAAACTGTGCTGTCTCTGTACATGTATGGCGTAGCGTGTACAATTTCCTTCACTATTCTTTCTATCTATGCAACAAGCTTGCTTCACCAATTGCTTCTTATATATCATGTACGTAAATATGTTTATGCAACTGAAACTACATATACACATCGAATGACAGAATTTCAGGCAATTTCAGGTATCAAATATCGACTGTCCTCTGAAGAACCTTCGTATCGTATTTTCCTCAAGATGGCGGTAATTTTTGTTTGGAAAGTTTTACACCACAAAATGCTAATAATAAAGAAAGAAAACAAACAAATAAAACATTACATAAACAAATTACATTTTAATTATTTATATTCATAGTACAATAATAATGAAATAATATTTGTTTTACTTATACACTTAAAAATAAGTAATCATTCTTAGATTAGTCCCAAAGTAGTTACGCTCTTGATAAAAATAGTTATTGAGTATTAGTTTAAATCATAAATTTCGATATAAGTAAATATAATTGTAATATGTTCAAATTCATTCCAAATAAATTATTATTTATAATATTTATAAATTTAAATTAATGAATATATTAACTGTCCTTTTATATAAAACTAATTATAATTTATTTTTCTCGTTATCATTCTATATTATATATATGTAGAACATTATAGAACACATTAGATAACATGTTTGTATGTATATATTAAACAACACTTAAAGTTTCATCGGTGATGATTAATGCAGGTATGAAAACGTTATCGATATAACCTTGTTCTAGAATAAGCTAAAATAATTTATAATTGTTTCATTTACCTAAAACGTGTGAATAAATTTTTCAATATAAATGGAATAAATGTAGCTTATTCTACTAAACTAAATAATTATATAATATATTAGAAGTTTCCATCCATTACTATTTTTAGTCGTATTAAAAGTCTCCCACGTATGTTTACTTACATTCTTATGCCTTATATTATCACTTCATTATTTACCAACATTTGATATCTTCTAAGTACAAAATTCGTCTTTGTTTTTTGTATCAATATTTCATCATTAATAAGTTCATTGAATTTTTTAAATTTGTGCCATATATTTCTACTAGATAAATACAATCCTATATAAATACAACCTTTTCAAATATAGATATGAATGGCATGTGTTGCCTAATAGGCAAACTTGGCATTTCACCAGAAGATAAGTCGATTCTGAATGAATGAATGAATCTTGCACTAAATTTTAGCTCTGGTCTTGGAAATACGAATCTTCCATATTTTAATAAATTCTTCAGTTTAGAATTTTTGTTTGTCAATTTGTATAAATTGTTGAATGTTTATTTAATAAATTATTATTTATAATTTTATAATGAAATTATATAGAAATCAAAGTCTATACAAAGTTTTCATTTTCGATTGATATGCAAGATAACAATTAAGGATTATCTAAATAACGTAAATTGATTTCGTTTCTTTTTTTTATTGCGAATGAAAATCAATAATATTATCGAAATTGTGGTATTTAATGTTATTGGTGTCATGTGGTTGATATAAGCAAGGTCAAGTCAAGTCAACAATAATGTTTATAGCTCAAATTATGTATTACAGATAAGATACCAATTTATACAAAAGAACATTAAAAGAAGTCGTAGTTTGCATTCGATTAAAAATAACTAAAAGCAAAATCAAGTTGCAGCAAAGTGTTGTTATGAAGAAAGAACAATTAAACTTAATAAGTTTTTGCAATAATGTCCAATTCTAATTTTAGATTGAATTTATATAAAAAATGTATTTTTGTGTTTAGAATTTGAATTCAAAATCAGTAGAATTCTTTGTTGAAATAGATTGTCCTGTCCCAGGGATGGTTTTCTGGACACTGTGGGATATCTTCTTCTGTTGTGGTTGTGGAGTCTCAGTTGTTGGGAATTTAATTAAATTCTTTTGGTTTTACATAACTTTATTTGTTATTCTTATAAGACTATGTTCATCTTTAAAGGTTTTATTGAGACTACTTCTAAATACTTATTGTACTTACAAAGTGTAATAATAATGGTTGGACACAACAACATTTCAAAAATGCTTTTATTATATAATATATTGCATTGAACACTTGGTTAGTTAAATTAATAACATTTGATTCGGTGAATTCCTTTAATATAAATATACCAGACAACTTCTTAGCTTGCAATTTTTGAAATAATTATCTAATATTAGTAATATATTATTAATATTTGAAAGTGAATGTTATTATGTCCTGATTATTTCAATTGAGTAATGCAGCGGTGAAATGACAATAGAAGCATTACGATTAATTAATTATCGCATAAATTCACAAAATCATGTGAGACTCTTTGTTCATTCACCTTGATTCCAGTTTGAAATTTTATTGAACTTAATTAATCTTTTGTTTGTGCAATTAATTTCATCGTCTAATTGAAATTAGTATAACTCAAGGATCGGCGTTTTTTTTTACATATTAAGGAGAATTGTTGGCCTTTCTTTCGGTTCAATGTAATACAAATTAACAATAAAGCAGTATAGTTTTGTATAATGAATATATAGATAGAATCTTGCGGTAATTTTTTATTTGAAAATGACAAATATTGTCGAAAAAACGGTGGTGCTGCAGATGGATATCTTCAAATAATTTTAGGTCCGAACAAAAGAAGTGTATTATAAAGTACATCCTGCATGATTCGCACTGTTGTTTTCAAACGAGCAGCGAATAAATCTCGAAAGAGCCCCGGGCGGAGGAACCCATCAGGAGAGTGTCTTAATTGCGTGCACCAGACCGTGCAGAGATGAGGCAAAAAAAAATTAATAGGAATCGAGCAAAGGACATCTCAATGGGATCTTTACGCTAGAACTATCGCATGTATGCGCATACATTATTACAGCAGCCTCGCCAAATACTTCCCATCATTCATTTGGACCTTTGGGAAGATTCGTTTGGATCCTTGCTAATATCCTATTCCACCACCTCCACGCATCCTCCTATATATACCTAGATCACCGAAAAAATAGTCAACAGTCGAAAAAGTGTTGTGTCTGTGTTCTTTAGTAATTCGCGAATTCGTTTAATTGAATTCTTGGAACAATGCGTTTCTACGATGTGAGTACTCCAAGTGAACCCTAAAAGTGACTTCCACATATGGGATTATAATTTTACACTTAAACCAATCAAATACACATTTTGCTTATACCTAAATTGTGAAGAGCAAAAAGCTGTTCAAGTTTATAGGATTAGATCTTTTCTTAAACTAATACCAAAATTTTGCAAACAAATACAGTAATTGCTGTTTTTCTTATCAGGTGTCTTCTATTTTCGTATTGGTAATGGCAACATTATCAACGAAACTTGTTTCATCTGAAGACTATAATGTTCAACAAGTTGATGGTTCCTACGAGTTTGGGTATGATGGAAAGGATTCGTTTCATCATAGCAAAGCTAATAGGAAAAATGTTGTTCGTGGAGAATTTGGAGGAAGGAATCCCCAAACAGGTACATTATTAATAATTACAATTAAACGATTTTTTATTGTTTAAAACTTAAAAATCTTATCAATATTTTGTAAATAAAGGTATTCATATTAGTTAATAATAATAAATTATTAGGTGGAGTCGATGTGACATCTTATACTGCCGGACCGAGAGGATACAGACCTCGAGGAAAAAATATCGTACGAAAATTCGATCAGAATCAAAACGGGCCAAGGCCAATCGGGTCACGAGACGACCCGTACTTCGATCCGAACGAAGATCCCAGCTACAATTTTTCTTTCAAAACCAGGACTTACTCACGAACTGAAGGTTTGTTGGTGAAATTTTATGAAATACAATAGGAATTAAATAATCTGTTCTTTTTTAAAATTATTTGTATAGGTGCAAATAGAAGGGGAGATGTAACTGGAAAATACACGTACGTCGATGATGTCGGTGAAAGACATAACGTGGAATACATCGCGGGAAAGAATACAGGATTCCACGTGAAGACTCCATTCCCTGACTCCAATCCCAGATCTTATGGACCACTTTTCTTCAACGGAAGAGGACGACCATTGCCCAGGGGACGCACTTCAATTCAACGTGGTCTCGATGGAAGTTACAGGTAATGTTTAATGTTCTACTATCAATCAAATTAGTTACTAATGGTTTTCGTATTATTTAGATTCGTATCCGCTGGACCAGATCAGAGACGTACTGAAACGAGTGATGCCAGTGGGAATGTTAGAGGATCATACACTTACTTGGATGATAAAGGTGTGCAACATTCGGTGCATTATATTGCCGGACCAAATATCGGTTATAGAGTATTGAAGAACGTGAAGGGACCTCATTTACCCACAGTTTATCCATTCGCCGGCCAAAATATTGTACCATCAGACTTTTACGATTATTTAGATAAGAATACTCAAACCGATATCTTCGACACTGCCGCCAGTGGAAGACCGAAACCCGTCAATAATGGAAACAAATATAATCCCAACGACGATACATTAAATTTCGATGATGATAAACCGAATAGAAAACCTTTTGGCGGTTTCAATAAGCCTACTTACGAAGACGACGGAGAAGATATTAGTGATATTGATCATTTATTTAAAAATCCTGGAAATAAACCGAGCGCCAGCAATAACAATCCGTCGAGCACTTTGGGAAACGATGATTCCGTTGCAGATGACGCTGATGATGGTGATGATGATGATCTGTTTAGCCCAAATGCCCAAAAACCTAGCTACAAACCGAGACCATCGCAAAAGCCAATTTCAAGACCGCAAAAGCCAATTTCAAGACCGCAAAATAATAAACCCAATTATGATTTGGATAATAATGATGATGATGATAGTTTGGACTCTGATTTTGGATTATTCGGATCGTCTTCCAACTCTTACAAACCAAAACCCACAGCCTCAAAACCTGCCCAAAGACCTCAAAAACCAAAACCTAGTTACAATGATTACGGTAATGGAGGAGATGATGATGATAACAATTCAAAAGATTTTGGCCTTTTTGGATCAACTTCGAGTAGCACCCATAAACCGCCGACCCTGAGTATATCCAGTGATAGAAATAACAACAAACAGCACACGATTGTAACGAACATTGGTGACACTTTATTCACCGTTCCTCCAGGTGTTTCTGTACAGGCCCACGTGCAATCCATAGATCTCTTCCCCTACGAGTCCAAGGTACCTTCCCCCAGTGATATATTTCGCGCAGAGGTGAGTTCAAAATTGACCCAAAGAAAAGCAGAACTCGAGATCACAACAGTTCCATCCGCCACGGAAACAACGCCCGTTGATATCACGACGACGAAATAGGACGAACATAATGAAAACACAATTGAATGATCTTCGCGTTTATGTAAATTAAGTGCAATATAAATAAAATTAATTTATTTAATTAAGAAAATTATAAGTTACCTTTTCCACTCTATTCAAATTTGAATTGAACAATTGCGCGATGCACGGATGTTGATAGCAAGAAAAAGCAAGGTCCTCCCCGTATTTACTTACGCCACTTAAGAAACCCACGGATTCTGCTTCGATCTTAACAGCTAAATAAGACAACGATCTCGTAATTACCTTTCAATTACCCGCACTTCATTATCTTGAAGCCGTAGGTAATTACGAAACGAAAGGTTGCGCAAAAGAAGAGATGTTCAGAACAAGCAACGGAAATTCTAATTGTTCTTCTCTTCATAATCGATATTGCTGATTGCGAAATCAACAGAACGAAAAGATGTAAACCATTTCGAAATTTTGTATGCTTTCAGTTTCATAAATGAGGGACAACTTCCCATTTCAATTAATCAACGCATTCCGAAGAAAACTTCTTCTATATTCTTATTGGTCGTTCGAAAAAAGAATCACGCGTCCGAACGAACTGTATTTTCCTTCGTACTGAATTATTGAACAACATCGATCTTCGATGCGAACTTTGGAAAAGGAAAAAATAAAAAGAGAGAGTGTATTTGACAATATTGATGGGTGTAATTAACATGTAGGTGACTTATTAGCAGAGATCCTCAAGTTCAATGACTTCCACTTGCAATGTCAAGGCTCAAGACCCGTGCTGAGATAGTAGCTACTAGCATTTATCTTATTATCAACGCTTCTTATATACGTATGTATGTGGTGAGTGCGTCTCGTTGAGAATCCACTTGCTGCACTCGTCTTTACCTTTAGCAGTTTACAGAAAGCGTGCAAAAAGCAAATAAACAATGAAAAGAGGAGGAAATTACAGGATAAATACAAAACGACAGCACAAATAAAATCGTTTACCTTTAACAGCTTTCAGACTTCGAATGCTTTTATTTTTAATTGAGTCTCGATGGAATGTATTAATATTTAATTGGTAATTATTGCATTGATGTATTTCACTTCTTAAACGAATAACATCTAACTACTGCAGTTCATTCGAAATATTTCTTCTGGAAACATTACAATTTAATAGATAAGTTACATATCTCAAGAAATATTCATACATTAAATTAAAGCCATTTTTTTCAAGAAATTCCTCGTATTGACATTAGGAAAATTTACAGCTAATCAACGATACTCGGGACATTACAATTGAAACATGGCCAGTGTTCTAAAGACTAATAAAGAAATTAATTAGTGCATGCTAATACCAAAGAACATATGTAAAAATATACAATTTCAATAGTATCATAATTCCATGATTGATAATTGATAATTGAATAAACCTATAATACAATAATGAAATAACAAAATTTAGTTATGGTTATAAAATTATTTAATTTGGAAAAGTAAGAATTATTTTGATTTTTGGCAAGTTACAATAAAATACAAATTGAAGAAAATATACATTTATTACAAAACTTTACAAGACTAGATGAATTATTACATATATAATGCTATAAGATATTGAATGTTGTAAAATATTTAATAATTTATTTCATATATTTCCACTGGAAACTTAATTACACTTGAAGTTAGAATTGTGGAACACAAATATGTATTATCAGTATTTACATGCATTTTTAATTCAGATTAGACACAAAAAAAGAAATTTCTCAAGTGCGTGCAATACTATGCAAATAGAACAATATTTTTGTAATTATCACTATTATGATATTATCGTTTGCTATTGCTGATAAACATATTTTTTTTTATGAAATCGTATATAAGTCGCATGTCTCTTAGAATAAATCAAAGTTGCTAAAATGTTCAAGAAATTCCTATTCGTCGCTTTGGCAATCCTTGCCTTGCAAGTAAGTATCATCAATAATATAGTTAATTAGGTTAATTAATGTTGTAATTGTTATTAGGGAACCGTGCAATCCGAGGAACGCGATACCAGCCGTGGACTCGTCGAACAAATCGAAAAGGCTTTGGAAAACTTAAAGAAAATCATTGAGAATGCCGTCAACAGTGCTTTGGAACAATTCGAAAACGTCTTCAACAAACTTCTCGACACCGCTAAGGGAATCATTCTGGAAGCGACCGGTGTTCTGAACAAGATGGCAGAAGACGCTTTGGAATTGATCCGCAGTATTGTTGGAGACGCTTCAAACAATGGAATCGATGCCACCAAATGTCTGTTGGGAAATGAGGAGAAAATCATCAGCATCCCCGATGAATTCCTTAGACAAATCACCGAATGCGTTGATGAAAATATCAAGACCGCAAGGACTATCATCGATGAGGCTATTGATATTGTTAAAGCTAAACTGAACATCTTATCTCAATTGGAGAAGAAGGCGAAAGAGTGCGGTATTGGAATTGGTGCTTTGCCTTGTCTCGGCAAAGTCCTTGCTGAAATTGGCATTCAAATCCTGCAGCTGCCAGTCCAGATCGCTGAACACGTTGCCAACATTCTGAACATCGTTGGAAATATTGCAAAGAGCGTCACCGAATGCTCTGTGAATTCGATCGCCGGTGCAGGAGTTCAAATCGCTTCCATTATTTCCGAAGTCAAGGAATGCGTGGAGAAGGCGGTTGAAGAGAACAAACCCGCCGAACCCAAATACATGATGCATTGAAACTCACTGCCTATCGACATTTGAGAATATTATTTCTGGAAGAAAAAGAAAATAACGATATGAATATACAATAAAATTAATTCGAAATGCAAAACAAAATTTATTTTTAATATCCTTAATGATCCTTATTTCCTACATTTTCAATTAAGAATTAAAATGGTATTCTTTTATATTATCAAATATGTTTATATGAAAATACAAAAAAAAAATCATCTTATATACAATGTGAAATTACATTATAAAACTCTTGACTCTTTTACGTAAATCAGAATCATTTTCACTAAATAAAGTTATATCGAAACTTCGTTATCAGAAGTAACGTTAACTAAAGTATGACTGTATAACCAATGTATAATAATGCAGAAAGTCCGTGGCGAATAGCCCTTTGTATCTTTTTTTTTTTAATTTATTTATAAATATTTATTAAATATATAGTTCAATCACGTTCGAGAAAATCTAATTTCTGTGCACGCAAATTTCAATTGTATTGTAATGATAGTGTATTCATTTCCACTGTCAATCATTGAAACAAAGAGCACATTTATATAACGTTTGTTATTAAAATATAAAAGAAATTTAGAAATGGTCTTTCATAACACAACACGATATATGTGTTGAATATTTGATTATTAACTATTATTTTTGTAAAATATAAAGTAAAAACAATAATATCTATACTTTAAGCACGTTCTTAAAGTGTGTGTTTCTATATATAAATTAAGTGGAATCAATTATACTTTATTTATCATCAATTGAACTTTTGACTCGTTTTATATATATTTATATTATATACTCATCATGTATACCAAGACTTATATTTAATGTTACTATATATAACTCTAAAATAAGAAATCCCGTTGGAAAATGTGTAATTAGACTTTTGGTTCCCACAATTTTGTTTGCATCATCATTAACCACCAAATTTTAGTAATGCGATGAGTTTTTCATGAAGATCCGCATCATGAACATTAGCATTAGTTGAATTTTAAAATATTCTTGAAACCAGAATTTTAGTGTATTCAAATCCAATATGGAAATACCTTAAAATATCGAAAATCTTTTTTTTTATATAAAAACAGTATAAAGTAATAAGTCTATAAACAGTTAAGAAATGCTCTTTGTATCTTGCATTAATATAAAATATGTAAATTTTATAAAACATCGAAAATCCTTTTCCTAATCACAAATAGGCAAAAATAGGTCTATGAACAGTTAAGAAATGCAAATGAAAATTTGGACACAATCAAAGAAAAAGTAGAACCTTGAGCTAAAGAACCAGATTTCTAAGCAGGCGCGGGTGGTTCGATGGTAGGGGGAATCAGCAATATCAATGATTTATTCTGAAGCTGAAAATTGCAAATGTATTATGTAGAAATTATAGCAATATCTCGCATAGTGCGGCTCCAATTAATCCGGATAGTCTATAGGTTTGAAAATATCAAAGCAAACTATATTTTAATTCAACAAAATGCAAATAAATTTCAAAACAAATACTATACAAAATTATTTATCTTTTTATGTAATTGATTTCTATTTTATTCAGTTTCTCGATTAGTCCGGTTTCAGACCGATCAACCTTTAAAAAAAACATAGTTTATAATCCAAAATAATTAAAACGATAAATTATCATAATTATTGTAGTTTCTTATCAAACATATTAATAAATATGTAATTAAAAGAAAGTACATAAAACAAAAAAGTGTTTAATTATAAAATAGTTAAATGTTTCCACTGAAGTAATAAAATCATTTCTATGTCACTGTGTTAACTGAACACAAGCAGCAATTATAGACAACTAATCAGACAGGTATTGTAGCTTTAAAAAGAAAACAAAAATTCACGTAAAACAGGTATCTATTATTTATTATTAGATGGTTTCACTAAACCCATTTATGAAACGAAATATCAAGAAAGAAAAGAAACTAGATCTGTGCCATGATTAAATATTGTTTTATGTAAATGATTACAGACACAAAGTTTCTTCGGTTCCCGTTAATTCGGACTAACCCATCTACCTTCGAGAAATACCATAATTAATCGCAGTAATATTAATTTGAATAATTAAAACTTACATGATTCGACACTAATTTTGTCATTAAATGTAATTATTAATTGATTAACTGTTGCTTTACTTGGAAAAAAAGTAAAACGGATGTGTTTCAGATTTGCATGCAACTTCAGCAAATTATCTATATTAAATATTGACAGATGTCAAGGGATATTTCATACTACTGCTGCATCCCGAATGGCATATGATTACACCAATCAGGTATCATTAGACCGATGTCTGATGTTTCGAAATTACTATGCGACGAGTGAGAAAACCACATTTCGATCGGATGCGGCGAATGAGAAACGAAAAGAATGAAAAAAATAAATAAAAAGAGGAGTAGAAATATTATCTTTAAGAATGGACAATGAACGGATTTTCTGGGACGAGCGACGGCACACTGTAACACTTCGATATAAATGAGAATATAATGCTTCATTTGTGTTCCGTTTCTGTAAATAATTTAAAGAGAGATGCGTAAATAAAAATCGGATGACTCGCACGAAGCATCCAATTTCTTCTGTACTCGTTGCATAAAAGATAATTTAGTTCCTATTCACACTGTATTTTTCTAATCAATAAACTCCATTCATATTTCATTCGAATCTCTCAACTAAATCTGAAGCAACTTCAACTGAACATAATTAACAATCAAAACACGTTTTATACTCTAGTACAACGAATGTAAAAATAACAAACATAAATTATTCTATAGACTTAATTAAAAGATCTCAGGTTTTGAAATAAACCTCTTAAAAATACAATAATAACTTATCTAATCATGATTGGAATTATTTTTTTAAATTTTGTAATGTTAGTATTTGTTGCTTGAAAATAATTGTTAAAAAAAATATTTATTCAATTTATACAGTTTGTAGTCGAATAGCCAATCACACTTAGTTACAAAGTCTAGGAGTGGTAAACATAGAGCTCTATAATTATACAATCGTGATGAACATTCCTAAAGATGATCGTAAGACCAAAAAAATACTTCTTATTGTATTGGTATATTGCATATGTAAAGACATTATTGTTAATTGATAAAAGATTATGTATATTAATAACACTTTTCAAAATAGAAAATTTGATACTGCTAATTCGAGAAATAAACAAAAAAAACGTATAAAATAGAATTTACAATTGCGATATATTTAAATTCTTTACTTTTCATTGCTCATTGCTAATGATAAAGTAACATACATAAAATACCCATTAACATAGCCTCTAACTAAACATAACCATGAACCTAAGTTAAGGAGACTTCTAACCAACCTAAAACCTTTCCACAAATCTAACCTCTAACTAAACCTAAGCTCTTACCAAACTTAATCTCAAACCAAACCTAACCTCTAATCAAACCTAATCTCTAATTAATTCTAACCTCTAGAATTGTTGGCAATTAATTGAATATTACTCAATAAAATTCAATATTATATAGATCATACTGCAAGTAACATTATTAACCTAATTATTACCTCCTTCATTAATTAATTACTTTAATTACTACAGGCAATATTATACAGTTAATTGATTCATTAAGACGAATCATCAAACAGAAAAACTCAAATTAAAAATTTGCACAGTAAATCAATAAATTCAAGTTATTTCTGGAATAGCCATATAGGATTATCTGGCATATACAATACGGTATTATGACCAATTTGTGAAGTCCAGTGGGCTGTGATTTGTGTTTGTGGAAGTAATTTTATTAAAATATCTGTTTTATCAGATTTGACCTAAATTTGTGTCTCCGAACTATTAATGTCAATTAGTTTTTCTAATTAACTTATTGTTCTTATTCTAATTAGATTTATAGCTAAACCTGTAGTTTTATAACTTAAAAAAAAATAAGAATTGATTGGAATATTTGTAGAAGGAAAATGTTTTAAGTAGAAATTTCAAATTTTCGTTCTAATATAAACAAAATATATGTAATACAGTGTATCCTCGCTTAACGAACACCTCGTATAACGAGCATTTCGCTTAGAGAGCAAAATTAATTGTAAGAAAAATGACTCGCTTAACGAGCGACGTTTCGCATAACGAGTAAAATATGTTTATGAATATGTTTCACTATACGAGTAAAAATCCGGAAATTTTAGAACGGATTAAACTCGTTAAGCGAGGTTCCACTATATTGCTAATTATTGAAATGTTGTCTATGGTGGAAAAGGCTGTTGACCGACGTCTTTGTCTCCTCTAAATCATATAAAATGTGTTGGTTGTCAATAAAATCATTATTATGGAGTGGCAATAAAGTGTGGTGAAATTCCTTAAACGGCTTGCACGTATAACGGGGTAAAACGCAATTCCCATTTATTTATTTATTTTCTCCATGTTACAACAACGCTGAGACAGAGAGAAAGAGAGAAAAAATAACAACCGGTTTCTCTCATCACACATTGAATATATTTGGAAAAACATTGCGACCTACGCGGACGAATTTATTATTGAAAACACACTGCGTGGATCCCATTTTTGCATTCGAATTGCTGTCCATACGAGGATCAAGCAAATATCATTTGTAGATCGAGAAGAGGAACATTGTTCCAAATTGTATTTGAATTCAATGTGGGCGAGAATAGAACCCAAAGTGGGTAATTGAAATTCAGATCAAAATTTGACCCATAAAACTAGTTTGTGAAAAAAAAATAATCTCGAAAACACGTTCACGCTGCATTTGAACATGTCCTTTTTAAATAATTTTATAACATTTATACACATAACACGGAAACAACAAATTAAATTCAAGAATTCAAAACTGTTTTCTTATTTACAATTTGTATAATACAAAACAATTGTTTTAATGAATCAATAAATAATTAATCCAATAAGTAATTTATACAATTATACAATTACAATTAACAGACAAAAAATTATTATCTTATAATCTTATTAATTATATTAACTAATTATAATTAATTTCTATAAAAAAATATCACATAAATTCTAATAAGAAGTAATTGAGAAGCATTAATTAATTATATTTAATGGGACTCTCTTTAATATATTGAAAGAAAAAAAAAGAAGTAACAAA